CATTACCTTATGCTGTGTAAAGTTTGAGCCAAATCCGACTTCAATTTTTCAAATTATGGCCATTTTTTAAATGGGCCTATTTTTGAAAAATTCTGTACTATAGCCCATGGTTTTTTCCGAAAAATGGCTCCGAAGTCACCCCCAAATTTTATTACATTTTTTGATACATATTGATGTCCTTATGCTATGTAGAAAGTTTGAGCTGATTCCGACTTCAATTTTTCAAGTTACGGCCATTTTTAAAAATTGGCCAATTTTTGAAAAAATCCCTGTACTATAGCCCATGGATTTTTCTGAAAAATGGCTCCGAAGTCACCCCCAATTTTTATTACATTTTTTGATACATATTGATGTCCTTATGCTATGTAGAAAGTTTGAGCTGATTCCGACTTCAATTTTTCAAGTTATGGCCATTTTTTTTAATGTGCCAATTTTTGAAAAAATCCCTGTACTATAGCCCATGGATTTTTCTGAAAAATGGCTCCGAAGTCACCCCCAATTTTTATTACATTTTTTGATACATATTGATGTCCTTATGCTATGTAGAAAGTTTGAGCTGATTCCGACTTCAATTTTTCAAGTTATGGCCATTTTTTTTAATGTGCCAATTTTTGAAAAAATCTCTGTACTATAGCCCATGGTTTTTTTCGAAAAATGGCTCCAAAGTCACCCCCCATTTTTATTACATTTTTTGATACATATTGATGTCCTTATGCTATGTAGAAAGTTTGAGCTGATTCCGACTTCAATTTTTCAAGTTATGGCCATTTTTTTTTAATGTGCCAATTTTTGAAAAAATCTCTGTACTATAGCCCATGGTTTTTTTCGAAAAATGGCTCCAAAGTCACCCCCCATTTTTATTACATTTTTTGGTACATATTGATGTCCTTATGCTATGTAGAAAGTTTGAGCTGATTCCGACTTTAATTTTTCAAGTTATGTCCATCTAAAGAAATGTACCATGTGCACTATTTTGGACGATATAACATGTAATGCACTGTCTTTATTCTTATCATATTGTTAAAGGTATGTTCATCAGCAAGACTGGGATGCAGCTCAGCATGTAGCTGAGGAGCACTCGCCCGAGAGTGTACCTGATGTACTCATTGGGCAGGTAATACACCTCATCATGCACTCCATTGATATATTCTTGTACACACATACTGTATGTACATGTATCTTGTGATGATAGGCTAGGGTGGCTTTCCAGAAGAAGGACTATCAAAAAGCTGAGAGTTATTTATTGAGAGCTGATCGTCCTGACTTAGTGGTATCTCAGTATAAGGCAAGTACTAGATATTATTAAAGACACAAAAATGAGAGAGAGAGAGCACATTGTACATGTAAAGTATATCCATTTAAAATTTTAAGATACATTTACATGTACTTGTACATTGTATTCGCCAATTTATATCACAGTACTTTGAAATATACATGTACATTGTACATGTACTTGATAAACTGATTTGTAATGTGTATACATTGGTATGATTCTATTCTCTCTTCTCTCAGGATGCTGAAATGTGGAACGATGCTCTGAGGATTATTAAAGAATATTTGCCTCATAAAGTAAGCACATTGTATAATGGTAGTGTGAGTTATTGACTTATTGTTCTATAGCTTGATGAGTTTCAAAGGGAAATGGCTGCCA